TCAAGTGTTAATATTTGTGCATCATGAGCCGAAAGACCATTTATAGCAGGATAAACTTGGAAATTGATATGAATACTCTGTCTGTGAAAAAGTTATCAGTGAGATAGAGGTTCAGCTTGTTCATTTTGTAAAGTCAATTATCTGTACTAAATTATATGTATATAATAAGCGTACATGTTACATAATAAACCGGATGATATTCCTGTCTGGAGCCCTAGAGAAACATAAATTACATAGTTTCATCTTATTTATAATACTCTTTAGAGGTTCAATTTTCTTTTCTCAATACTTAAATCGGATAGGCCCAGCCCTTGATATAATATATAGTTTTTTCTAAAATACAAACTCCAACATTCCTAAATATACTCTGTGACAATTCAGTAGCTGATTATGTTGAGTTTCTTTCTGTAAATCTTAAGCAATCCTTAAATCCTTAGCTACATTACAAGTCATAAGTTCAATTCATTGTACTGACAGTTTTAGCTTAAAAATTTATATAACATACATTTTACATCGTCTCTGTTTACAGTGAAGTACTCTTCTATAGTGTAACCGTATGCACCCTTCACAGATATGTCTTATTTGTTTGTAAGTAATGATAAAGTTTAGCTGTGGAAATGAGATGCCCCGGAGGGATCATGGTTCTGTGAACTGGCCTTTTGTCACAAGGGACAGAAGGGAGGTTGGTGAGTCCATTGCATTCAAGGGGGGGGGTAGGTATACCTTCTTTCGTCCGTGCCTGTGGGGGTGGCGGACCTGTGGATAGAAGCTTCGAGGTGTGCAGACCGGAAGGGGTACATGCGTTTGGTCATGAAGCCCTCCCAGTGGAAGGTTTGAGATGGCGGTAAGAACGTGGTTTCGCAAAGCAGCAGCGGGGGTAATAGAGTATTGAGGGAGTAGAAGTCAAGCAGTGGGTGAGTAGAAACCAGGGAGTGAGGGTGTTCATGTGGAACCTGTGCTGAGGGATTAACCGATCGACCCCGCATCCAAAATGACGTAAGCGAGCCAACACCCGTGTACCCCTGGGATACAAGAGTCATACCGCTGAATTTAGTCGAGGCACTACCCTGTGAGGAAGTAAAGCATGTGGGGCGGGTGTAATAGTGTATAAGGAACTAGCAGATAATTCTTTAGCACTAATTTAAACTTTTTAGTATCGTTACTTCCGTTTTGTTACTATGTGGCAGATTATTGGACTTTTTTATGCGAGTAGACTCCTTTTTGATATAGTGATAAGTCTGATGAAGGTAGGTGAAAGGATTAGGTAAATTAAAAGAATCCCATTGTTTCATCAGAAATCAAACCCGTGACCTTCCAGCTTGTAGCATAGTGCCTCAAACCAACTGTGCTACCATGTGCCCTACAGTATTCATGTTATAGACATCTATATTTAATATTAATTGGTCCTTGTGAATAAGGAACATGAGAAGCAATAATATGTATTGCAATTGGAATGGAAGACTGTTTAAGTACTTAAATTAATCTCTGCATGAATCTCTACTTCTGCATCCTGCAATAATTCTAATCATGCTCTTTTAACTTAAAAGATGTTTGTATTGTGTGTAGAATTTCTCCAGAATATCAATCGATAGCTCATAAAGGAATGAAAGTAAGCATAGTAAACTATCATCAGTGTTTCCTGTGAAATAGGAGGCTGAACAGATCTGATTGCATAGCAAGCTGCACTCAGTTTAGGTACAAGTTGCTCAATATGTATTTTGCAGGACAGTGTACTCTCTAAATGTATTCGAAGGAATTTTATGTCACCTTCTTTAGAGATTAATTTAGTGACATAACTGATGACAAGATGAAATTGGTGGCTGTTTTTGGTTGGTAATTGTATGTAAAATGTTTTATCAAAATTTAATGAGTTATTTGGCTTCACACAAATTATTTAAGGATACACATACAATATATATATCATTTTTAAAATCTTCAGATTTAGAGTTTGTAAATATAAAACTTGTGTCATCTGCAAATGGAATTGGTATAGATTTTTTACTGATAGTTTTTGATAAATCGTTTATATAGAGAAGAAATAGTAAGGGACTTAAAATTGATGCCTGCGGAACACCGTGTTTTCTAATTCCCCATTTTCAGAACACATTAGGACTGCAATTTTTGCTTTTTCTGTCCACCCTTTGTTACCTGTTTGTAAGGTACGATTTGTTCCATTAGCTTTGCAAATTATTACATTGAAATTTAATTCTGACAATAAAATATCATGTTTAAGACAATGAAAAGCTTTTGCTAGATGATAAAAGATCCGTCCCACAATTAATATGTCATTAAGAGAATTTAAAATATCAACATTAATTATTTCATAGGATGCGTTTTCTGTTGTTAATTCATTCCTGAATCTGAATGATTCAACTAACATGTTATTAGAATTTAAGCGTTAGTAATCTATTATACATAATTTTTTCAAAGACTTTGAGAATAAAGGCAGTAGGAATATCAATCTGTAGCTAGATATGGAATTTCTGTCACCTTTTTAAAAAGTGGCCCAATTACAGCATATTTTAAGTGTCAAGGAAAAAATACCTATTGATAAAGATTTATTACAAAAAGGTATCGAACCTTTGGTCGGCAGATATACATTTATTCATTTGGAGGTACAAAACCCTAATCCCCTTCAAAGTAGTCACCTTGGTAATGCACACACTTCCTCCAGCGCTTCCGCCATTGTTGGAAACGCTTCTCAAATCGGGTTCCTTTCAGCGGCATTTTCAGCTTGGAAAATAGCCAAAAGTCACATGGAGCCACGTCGGGGGAGTAGGGAGCCTGACGAACCACAGGTATATTGTGTTTGGCAATGAAAGTCTGAATCATATGTGCATTTCTTACATTCCATATGTCAAATCTCAAGTCCAGTATTCTTAGCTTCCAAAGAATATGACCAGAGCTCTCTGGTGAGAAAATGGTGCAACAGATTAAAATGATATTACATATCATGTCACTACCATGTTCTCAGTTTGCACTGCAGGAATATGACAGTCATCTACTGAACTGTAGTGGTCCGTAGTGGCCACACTCAGAAAAAAAAGAAAACCAGTTCATCTTGATATTGGGTTATTGGGCTTTATCCATCGTTCTGGTTTTTAAGATGATAAATAAAAACACGACGTTTCGGAAACTGGACCAATCCAGTGATTGAGGCTAGCTCTTTCTAACGGACCCAACAGAATAGGTGCATTCCTTCACCTGAGGACGGAAACATCCAGTTTCCGAAACATCGTGTTTTTATTTGTTATCTTAAAAACCAGAACGATGGATAAAGTCCAAAAACCCAATATATCAGTGTGTTATACACCATCGTCAGAATCCTACAGTCCATCTTATTATATATTAAGCTCAATTCTGAAGTGAAATGGTATGTAAAACAAGAATGAATTATATTCTGAGTTCATGTTCTCTGAAGTGCTCTGGCTTTATGGTAGCAGTGTGCATAATATGCGCCACCTTTATCATGTCTGCACTGACAGCTACAGTTATGGGATAAGCTGATCTCCTTATTCAGGGAATCCAATTTATCCTGAGACCAGCTGGCTAGAAACTTGTTCTCCTCAATAGTCCACCGCTTGCTGCCAAACTGGTTTTCTGGCTTATCTCAGTATTGCTGACATTTAGCATGGTTGTCCTTGAGAGATGCAGAAATTCAGTTCACAGTGTTGTGAAATATCACATTCAAAAATGGAATGCAATAGAAAGTTTCACAGGAAGTGTCTTGACAGTACAGTGCCATGTCATGTAACAATTCTCAATACTGTAACAAAATTACATCCTAAAGGATTGCCTTGATCAAGACAAGTACTGACTGAAGAGAAATTTGTGGATCCATGTGGCTTACATGTAAACTTATGATAAGTGTATGATACATTAAATGCAACTAAAAACATGACCTGAAGATGTGCCGAAACATGTCATTGTACACAGCCACCCTGTCTGCTGAAAACTGTGTTGTGCTGATACAATAAATAATTATTACATAAGTTAAACTACAGTGGATCAGTAAGCCATGAACTAGTCTGATGATAAACTGTACACCCTGCATAACTGCTATGTACCTCTATAATGTGAAATGATAGTACAGAATTATTATCGCCTATGTAGTCTTTTCGTTGAATAGCTGTTATCTGCCAAGCCTGAATTGTGAGTGAGCCAGAGGGCAGAAACATTCAGGTGCCGGATGGAATGAGACGCAGCAGCTATAAAGTCATCAGGCTGGAAACCAAGGGCTGACAGTTTCTTTATTTGATTTAGGGGGAGAGAAAACAGGATGAAAACTCTTGACGCCTCTTGATACAAACTGCATATTTTGGTACGATGTTTAAAATCGTTGTACTAAAATCTTTTTCGTGATCAGCTGTGTCAGTGTTGACTTAAACCAATATTTCATCTCTTCCTCATCCAGCATCAGGGTTGATGTGGTGAATAACCATACATCATTGACATATACAGTGTGGATCAGTAGGAAACGTCAATATTATTGGAGGTCACAGTACCAATCATTCTAAGCAAAAAAGCAGATATGTACATGTATCCTACTCTGAACGGTTTCTGAGACAGAGCTATTTCATGTTATCGCCTGCATAAAGGAACGTCAAGATGCACTCAGACCTGCAACATGCCATGTCCTCACACGAGTTGCAATATGCACTGATGATGATGGAATTTTTGAAAGCTTATTATACTACCTATGAAGGATAAAGTGTCCAAATTAGGATATTATATACTGACAAGCCACATCACCTGCTATCATTTGGATGATGAAATGCAGGAGATCCTGCACCAGGCAGTCACGCACACACACACACACACACACACACACAGAATTTTCAAGGCAAAACATCCACTTGGAACAAGATGGAGATGGAACAATAACATAGACTGGAAATGAGGGAGACAATGGTGATCAGATGGGGATAGATTTAGATCAGAATTATATTGTCACGTGTAGGATGGTACATGTGACAAAATGATGGGTTCTAGCTCGGATGGTTGGAGTTATTGTCACTTTGGTTACAACCTCTCTTAATCACAATTAAATACAGGAAATAGTGTTAGCGCTGATTTACACACTTTCCATTTCATTGTCGTACACACTAGGATGAATACTCTGTCTTCTTGGGATTTTCATGATGTATGTTTTCAAATGCCATAAAAATCTGGTGCTGAGATTCCATGCTTGGCTAAGTTTGAACTCTTCCTCTCTGATTATACTGTCTGGAAGCAATTTTATAAAATTACAAAATAAAATCCTTGCATCTGGCATGTGGTGCTATGGCATTTAGCTACAGGTGCTTAAAATTCTTATTCCTAGAGTAACACCATATGAGAAAAAAAGAAATAAAATGTATGTCAAGTATATGGAGTACGTGGATGTGAACTGCACAGAGCAGGCTAGTGCTTAGCTTTACTGTCAAGCCCACAGATCTGTGCTTCTGATGACATGAGAGCGAAGGGCATATTCACTGTGTGTAGGCAAGCCTCACCTTTATCATGGCAGCATCCTTTGGAACAGCATCTTTTGCCTCCTCCTCTCTGGACATACAACTCTTCCTACAACGCACTCATGATTTCCCCCTTTGCATGCTCTCTCTGGGAATGTGGTTCACTCTCATATTCAGTTATGCAGTTCCCCTACTCTGAGTTCATTCTGAAATCTAAGTATTTTATCTCTTGCTCTGGTAAGCAGTGCACTGAAAGACAAACATGCAATTACTAATCCTGCATGAAGAATAACCCTCTCTTGTGTAATATGGCATGTAAGCAACTTCGCAATTTCAATTTGACTGTTGTCTTCATGTGGGATACTTGAAGACTACATGTCAGAGCTTATGATAAGGGTGCCGAAATATATTCTTTATCTGTTTCTGCATATTACACATGGCAATAAGTCATTCTCATTTAATATATTTAGACGAAGGATAAAACTGCACAAGTCACTGATCTTCATTAACTCATCTGTGGTGAGAGGGGAAGCACATTTCTGGAGTCCTTACCCAAGCATAATTCATTGCACATAGGAAACCAGTACTGTTTCGATACAAATATGGATTTTGCACCCCTCTCCCCCCCCTCCCCGGCAAAAGGCAGGCAATGAAGGACTGAAGGTTAAACAAATAAGATTTCTAACATATCTGTAGGTTTTTCTAGAAGGAACTACACAGTGAATAGTATTACATGAAGTCAACTTCGGGAATTGCGACGAGGTGATCACTTGCCCAAAGAGTCCTACCATATGTGTAAGATCTAGTAAAACCGAAGTGAACGGAGTTCATGGAGGTAGGCCTAGGCCCACTGGGGCTGTAGTGCCAAGGGAGAAAAAAAAAACTTTGGGAAACCAGCATCATGGGAGATATCAAAATATACAGGCAACACTTGAGAAACCACTCAATAAGACTGGACAGTACTTCATAAGAGAGCAAATTACTATAAATTAGGTTGAGGAGAGATGTTGGAAAACCAAACCAGAGGTGGTTAGGTCAACTTTCAGTATTAGAATGGCTCCAGGAGGCACTGTCTTTGTATGAGGAGGAGGAGGAATAAGAGGAGAAAGATGCACAAAAATGAGAAGGAGAGGGAGAGGAAGCAGGCACCTAGCCAGGTGGATAGCAAACAGTTGGATAACACTTAATCATATAAGGGCCGTGCTATGCTCCACATACAGTATTTATCAATTACGCATGCAGCACTTCACTAACTTTCACTAAATTTGCCTATCCTTATAACAGTAAAGGCAACAGTTTCTTGCATGCATCACAGCTGACACCATGAAGCACTGGTCTGGCAACAGTACCACTGACACTGGCTACTGAGAACACTTCCATGTCACCAGCATGTACTGCAGCACCCATGTCCTTCTGTACTTGATGAGTAACATTGAATCTCTGAGGAACACCATCAGGCATTTCCTTGCCATGACTTGTGGACAGATTTGGTGCCCTGAGCAATGACTGTAGGTTATCCAGAAGAGTAGTATCATCATCCACACAATTAGTTTCACCCAGACAGACCTCTAATAGCAAGTGCACTGATGATGGTAATCTTCAGGGCACCTACACACTGTCCCATAGCTGGGTTATTGTTCCAACCAGAGTACGAATGAATGGCTCCAAATGTGTTCACAAGGGGATGATCAAAGAGCTGTTGCCAGGTATTCACCACAACACCCTCCTGAAAGAACATTAAAAAGGAAATTAGTGGGCTTCCTTACATGATGGACTACCACACTTCTTCAGATTTGAAAATAACATGTTACTTTACACAAGAGACTGCCATTATAAAATTTTGTACATCTGATTAAATTATTTCCTGTAGTGAAATCCTTTTCCAGGAAATGTCTGCTGCATGAATGCTTCTTGTGCAGCAGTCTATAAGAATCAATAGTGCAGGATATTGCAGCTTTTCCTGCCCATCCTACAGCCCTCTAAAAATAGAACATATTGTCTCGAAACCTCAAAATAGTTCATTAGTAAACATTACAAACATGGTGCATGTGCTAAATTTTGTTGTTGAATAAACTGAACACAGACAGAAGCTAAACTTAATTTCTTTGTTGAATTATGCAACATGTAATAAAGCAGTACACCCAAAATTAAAAGATACATACCGCGCTGCATCCTTGTGAGAGTCGAAGAATTTTACTTCTTTCTGTCTACTGAATGACAAGTACCCAGAAGCACTGCAAGTTTTTGTTCTCTTCCTCATATATACTGCAAGAAGCAATACAAAAATTGTAACACCATCACAGTGCACTTAGAACTCCTTGAAATTCTACAGACAGTCTTTGGGCTAAACCGAAAATTGCAGAACATCATAAAATGAATGTGGTTTAGATGACAGTTCATCATCACCTCAAAAATTTTGGGCTTGAAAGTATTCTATATATTTATAATTTGATTTGTTGTAGTAAGAATGACATTCATATGCACAAATAATATGTTTAACATGGAGATGAACTTCGTGCATAAATGTCTACTCATGTTTCACAACAACATGAAATCAAAATTAATACCTACCAACTTCCATACAGCCATTTAATTATGGGAATTCAAATGGGTTTGTTAAGGCTCTCTGATTGGTCGAGAGTTGTGTACAATTTCTGCCTCCTCACATGGTTACGACAGTTAAGACCACAACAAAACTGAAAGTGTAGAAGCTAAACCGGAAACCATGATCACGAGTCTAATGCATCTTTCACACTGATGAATCATTTTACTTTTCTTCAAATAAAATTATCTTCCTCACTACTAGTTCACTCAACTGCCACACAACACAAATCCCTAGGTATTTTATTTATTTTATTTTATTGCTAGTGGGGTGGGACTAAGTCCCTTGTACTGCTGCCACATCTGGCCTATTGTACTAGCCCCAGATGATAGGTGAAGGTGATTGTGAAGCAATTGGTGGAATGTAGATTGGCAGGGGAAACCGAGGTACTCAGAGAAGACCTACCCCAGCGCCACTTTGTCCACCACAAATCCCACTTGACCAGACCCGGGATTGAACCCAGGCCGCCACGGTGGGAAGCCAGCGACTAATCCCTACCTAAGGAACAAATCTAATAATGTTGGGCCTATCACACACAATGGGAGGGAGAAAAAAGCTGGAAGAGAAAACTGGCCAAGTACCACAATGACCAGGGATGGAACTTTCTAAATTTTTAGAAATATGTGGTTACCTTTGAAGTCTTTCTTGTAATACTATCGCTTGCAGTTTCAGAATTACTTATAAAATGGCAATACTTTCAAATTTAAAATGTCTAGATAACCAAAAGCGTATCAGCTGTTGTAAATACAGATTGCGTAATAAGTAACAATTTTTCGGTACCATAGCGAGTACTGTTACGTAACGCCTCACAGTCGGTCTGCGGTTACGTTACAGCAACGTCACCAGTTGACACGTGGAAGCCTGTGACGTGGCTGCGTTGCAGTGCTATATAAAGCGTTGGTCTGTGGCTCATAAGCTCATTAGTGCTCATTAGTCTCATAAGTTCAGTGATTAGCTGTGTGTGAAAGAAGCAGAGCAGAATCTGGAAGGAGTGGGCAGAAGAATGGACGAGTTTCGCAGTGAGCTGTGCAGTGGGATTGGAGGCATGAAGTACGGCGACCCACGTGATAGTGGGAAAGGAATTATCCTCAGCCGTCGTCAGAAGAAGAAGCTCGCTCGTCAACGTAGGGAAAATCAAGATCAAGATGGCATCCCAGCAAACAACATGAGCAAGAGCGGAGCCAAGGGTTTACGGTCAGTCGATTCTGGACACGGGAAAATAAATGGACAAATTATCACCAGTGCCCCCGCACTACGCCTGCATTCCGAGATGAACATAACGAACAGAATCCTTTCGATATTTCTCAGTCCATATATCTTAAGTTCAAATCAGCTTCTACAGCTAGGCTACCCGGTCGAGAGTCGCGTACATCCTGGGAAAGCAGTTATCTACAAAGACCCTACTGTTTACGCACTCTTCCAACGGGGCACAACTTCCTCACGATTAAACGTCAATGCTACTGAATTCGTTCCTTTACGGCGGATGGAAAATTGCCAACAGGAATCCCATGCCATCACAACAACAAGAAAGACATCAAATATCATGGAAAACGAACATCGGCTATTAGAGAAAGCAGTAAGTGAAACTGAAGGCAATCAGAACAGTGATACGTTTAGTGCTAACCGTGGTGTCGCTGCATTTCCCTGTGATAAGAAACTCAGCTACGAACGCTACGAAGGAGGGCGGTGTGAAGGTACTAGAAGACCTAGCGGAGACAGGAGTGACAGGAGTGTGAAATTTCAAGGCGTGACGGAAGTGGAGGACAGTAAATCACCAAACGGTACCCTGAAGAGCGAGGGCGAAGATCAACAGTTGAGTGATATTAGTGAGAAGAAGTGTGTCCGCTGTGGTCGTGGATTCTGTTTAACAATGGAGGGGAAATACGCGACTCAAGAAAAGTGTATTCATCATTGGGGCAAGATAGAGAACGCAGTGGCACCCCAGTTGCCCCAGCCCCACAAGGTCGGTGTCGTGGGTCCTGTGAGAACAATAAGACGTTACAGTTGCTGTGGAGGTAAACCAAATTCAGGTGGGTGTAGTGTGGGACAACTACATGTGTGGAATGGCTTCGGCCCCGGAGTGAACGACTCACTTGATGGTTATGTTCAAACTCGTGTTCGTAAGACATTTCCACCTGATGGGAATTTTGGTATCTATGCAGTAGACTGTGAGATGTGTTACACAGCACATGGCACTGAAATAATTAGAGTGACTGTGGTGGCGTCCGATGGTCATCTCGTGTACGACAGGTTGGTGAAGCCAGAGAGCGACGTTATAGATTATAACACGAGGTTTTCAGGAATCACGGCACATGATCTCAATGAGAATGCCACAAAATCATTACGGGATGTCCAGAACGATTTAATGGGCTTCATAAATGCAGACACTATACTTGTGGGTCATGGATTAGAGAATGACCTTCGTGCCCTGCGCATTATCCACGGCAGGGTCGTCGATACATCTGTAATATTTCCTCACTCTAATGGTCTTCCATATCGTCGGTCCCTGAAGACACTCGTAAGCGAGTTCTTGCAGAGAGATATTCAGCAGGATTCATCTGGACACTGCAGTTTTGAGGATGCAAGGGCCTGCATGGAACTGATGTTGTGGAGGATCAGAACAGATTTTAACTGCATTTTTCAAAGTGGTGTACAAAATTTTTTGCAGTTGCAGAATAAATTTGCATGTATATGCTTTTAACAGATTTTGCCTTTTAATTATTCTGTTGTTTCGTAAACGAGTCCTGTTGTTCTAAGTTTATTCACCAAATTATGAATTTTGTCTGTTGTGAACTTCAGTGTTAAAATTTTCGATGACATTTGCTAACATATCTGTATTTCACATAGGTGTGATGCAGAAATATGCGTTGCTTTAAAGTATGTTGAGCCCTGCCATGCAATGCCACACTGCTGACTAACTGTTAACTGGGAACAGATGGCTCATCATGCTGACAACTGTTGAAAAATCATAAATTCTCTTGTATTAATATAATATCATTCAGAGATCTACAAGTTATTTTCGTTCATTGACAAATAAAAGGGATGTAACAAGGCTGCCTCATCATGCCGCTTTCAAATTCAGTACGACAAGACGACGATATAGACAAGGCAAAAAATTTACAGCAGTTAAGGTAGATGACAACTGTATCCTGTAGCAATGAATATTGAAATTTTTGATAAAGTTTTGTCGCAGCCCAACTGATAATTTTCTGAATTAGGAGATCCCACTGATACATTTTTTATGTTTTATCATGACCAAATTGATGATGATGAAGTTTAGTGAGCTGATTGGCAGGTGATATATTTCTACATTCGGTGAACTCACAGTTCCTATGGGTTGGGTTGGTTCTTATAGATACTCAGCTAATTTTGTTGTGTTTTACAAGTGGCTTTGTCTCTTTTCAGCAGTGAAACTTCTTAAAACGTGATTGATGCATATAGGAATGAATACATGTTTACATGTCTCGTAACTTAGTTTAAAGCAAAATGAAAAGCTACTGGTTTCACTTCCCATATATACATTACTCTTACTTGATACAATTCACTGATGATAGTGATGATAGCCACAGCACAATTCTACCCATGTGATGTGCATAAATATTACAGTATATAAAAATATGGGGTAAGCTAACAAAACTCAATATAAAATAGGCATAAATAAATCAAACCAAAGTAAATCTACCCCATTCTAAGTGTCTTGAAGTCTTGTTGCATGTGCATTGGACCATCAGATTGTCACTGTGATTGTCTGTCAAGTCTGCAACCTCCATAAGGTAGGGAAGTCTGTTGTCTTTTGCAGGTTCCTGGGGCATCTCAGATCAGAAGTGAGGCTACCAGTGCCATTGCTAAGAAAGACATTTTGCATGGAGACCAGGTATCAGCTCAAGTCATGGGCAGTGATGTCCATGCCTATCTTTGCACTGTTGAGCCTTCTAGGCAAGACAAGGGGACCGACACAAAGCAGCGGATTGTGAGCAGTGAGAGTGTGTTCAGGCATGGCAATCCTCAGCAGCATCAGAAGAGAGAAAGATATGGTCACATCTTCAGATTTGTCATGCTTGCTTAACAGGCAGACATTTGTTGTGTGGTAAGCAGTGTAGTGCAGCCCGTACTGTTTCTGATATATAATGAATGTCATACATTTCACTATATCCTTGACAGTGAACATGGTGGATTTTATGACAGTCTGGCATTCATAAACAGTATGGGTCTTGCAAAATATGAGGGCTGTTCGGAAGGTAGCATCTGGAGGGCTGTTGGCAAATCAAGCAATTTGAAAGAATGTTATCTTATACATAACTAAAGGTGCTCCCTCTACATCATTGTCCCCGGAATTGGAGTCCTTGTGGTAATAGGGATTGGCTTTTTCTTTTGGCTGTGTTGAGGGAGGTCTGCTGCCTGTGAGCTCAGCCACCTGTTGACATGTTCCATCAGCTTCTCATTATGGCTGAAGCACTGTGATCTCACCTAGTTCTTCGGATAGATGAACAGGTGGTAGGTGCTTTGATTGAGATTGGGGCTGTAAAGAGGGTGGTCAAACAATTCCCATTCAAAATGCTCCATAAGTGCTAGAATGTGAGCAATGTGTGTGCGTGTCTATTATGGAGAAGCACTACACCAGATGTCATTTAGTGCACTTTGTTTTGAAAGGCCTTTTGCAGTTTTTTAGGGTTTCGTAATACAAAATGTGACTGAGCTCCCAGGCAGCGGATGTCTGTAATCATTTTTTTATTCATTGCTTGTTTTGTTGGCAGGTCACAGGAGGTTATTTTCCAAATAGCCCTTGCATTTACAGGGGTACATGTTAGCGTACTTGGTTGAGGCACTATGCTACAAGCCAGAAAGTTTCGGGGTCGAGTCTCAATGTGGTGGACTTTGTCAATTGACCTAATCCTTCTAGCCGCACTATGGGCCTGTCTCTGACTCAACCTCTAACAGAAATGTGTACCAGGAATATTCCAGGGTGCTGAAGGGTGGCCGCCATGTAAGGCTGACAACCTTACCGCCGTCTTTGAGCCAATGATCTTGATCAGTGGTTCTGAACCTTTATGAGACCGTGGCCCAGTAAGTTCTTTTCTTATANGCTTAACAGGCAGACATTTGTTGTGTGGTAAGCAGTGTAGTGCAGCCCGTACTGTTTCTGATATATAATGAATGTCATACATTTCACTATATCCTTGACAGTGAACATGGTGGATTTTATGACAGTCTGGCATTCATAAACAGTATGGGTCTTGCAAAATATGAGGGCTGTTCGGAAGGTAGCATCTGGAGGGCTGTTGGCAAATCAAGCAATTTGAAAGAATGTTATCTTATACATAACTAAAGGTGCTCCCTCTACATCATTGTCCCCGGAATTGGAGTCCTTGTGGTAATAGGGATTGGCTTTTTCTTTTGGCTGTGTTGAGGGAGGTCTGCTGCCTGTGAGCTCAGCCACCTGTTGACATGTTCCATCAGCTTCTCATTATGGCTGAAGCACTGTGATCTCACCTAGTTCTTCGGATAGATGAACAGGTGGTAGGTGCTTTGATTGAGATTGGGGCTGTAAAGAGGGTGGTCAAACAATTCCCATTCAAAATGCTCCATAAGTGCTAGAATGTGAGCAATGTGTGTGCGTGTCTATTATGGAGAAGCACTACACCAGATGTCATTTAGTGCACTTTGTTTTGAAAGGCCTTTTGCAGTTTTTTAGGGTTTCGTAATACAAAATGTGACTGAGCTCCCAGGCAGCGGATGTCTGTAATCATTTTTTTATTCATTGCTTGTTTTGTTGGCAGGTCACAGGAGGTTATTTTCCAAATAGCCCTTGCATTTACAGGGGTACATGTTAGCGTACTTGGTTGAGGCACTATGCTACAAGCCAGAAAGTTTCGGGGTCGAGTCTCAATGTGGTGGACTTTGTCAATTGACCTAATCCTTCTAGCCGCAATATGGGCCTGTCTCTGACTCAACCTCTAACAGAAATGTGTACCAGGAATATTCCAGGGTGCTGAAGGGTGGCCGCCATGTAAGGCTGACAACCTTACCGCCGTCTTTGAGCCAATGATCTTGATCAGTGGTTCTGAACCTTTATGAGACCGTGGCCCAGTAAGTTCTTTTCTTATAAGACGAGGGCCCAGTCACAACAAATTTACTCGTAAATACCTTTCCAGTTTTGTTAAAGTTCATGCATTAAGCTAACGTAATATTAGTAATTAATTATAGCATAATCATAAAGGGTATTGGTACACTTATGTATACAGTGTGGCATGTTGACAAACATTAAATTACATTTAAATTAGTTATCAATCACTGGACTAATGAAATCTTGTAGCATTTTGTAGTTTCCTCAGACCAACATCATTAAATTAATTTGTGCTAATTTTCATTGACATATCCCATGCTGATCACCAAAAACTTGTGTTATTCAGATTAAATTGATTATTGTATTATTAAATTGATTTTAATGATGTTGGTTTGAAAAAAAAAAGGTAGTGAGAAAAATATTTATGCATTGTAACTCACCATAGAAGTCAGCTGAGTAGGGGAAGAAGCAGAAGGATGTCAACTTGCGAAGAAACAGTATTCAGTATTACTAGATTTGAGAACTGGATACAGACTGCCTTAATCTTCAATTTCAGTGGAAACATTTTCTTTATACTTCCATGCTGATTGGTCACTGACATTTGCAACTCAGATGTTATTTCGCGCAGTTCTGAGAATAGAGGATATGCCACCCATTGTTGTAATTGGTTTGCAGGCAATTTTTATGACTGGTCATAAATATCAGTATTGCCTTTCCCGAATGTTGAAAGATTTGGATGTCTGAAAATTCCCTATCCCTTACACATCATAGTTTGCAAATTTTCAAGTGTTAATATTTGTGCATCATGAGCCGAAAGACCATTTATAGCAGGATAAACTTGGAAATTGATATGAATACTCTGTCTGTGAAAAAGTTATCAGTGAGATAGAGGTTCAGCTTGTTCATTTTGTAAAGTCAATTATCTGTACTAAATTATATGTATATAATAAGCGTACATGTTACATAATAAACCGGATGATATTCCTGTCTGGAGCCCTAGAGAAACATAAATTACATAGTTTCATCTTATTTATAATACTCTTTAGAGGTTCAATTTTCTTTTCTCAATACTTAAATCGGATAGGCCCAGCCCTTGATATAATATATAGTTTTTTCTAAAATACAAACTCCAACATTCCTAAATATACTCTGTGACAATTCAGTAGCTGATTATGTTGAGTTTCTTTCTGTAAATCTTAAGCAATCCTTAAATCCTTAGCTACATTACAAGTCATAAGTTCAATTCATTGTACTGACAGTTTTAGCTTAAAAATTTATATAACATACATTTTACATCGTCTCTGTTTACAGTGAAGTACTCTTCTATAGTGTAACCGTATGCACCCTTCACAGATATGTCTTATTTGTTTGTAAGTAATGATAAAGTTTAGCTGTGGAAATGAGATGCCCCGGAGGGATCATGGTTCTGTGAACTGGCCTTTTGTCACAAGGGACAGAAGGGAGGTTGGTGAGTCCATTGCATTCAAGGGGGGGGGTAGGTATACCTTCTTTCGTCCGTGCCTGTGGGGGTGGCGGACCTGTGGATAGAAGCTTCGAGGTGTGCAGACCGGAAGGGGTACGTGCGTTTGGTCATGAAGCCCTCCCAGTGGAAGGTTTGAGATGGCGGTAAGAACGTGGTTT